ACGATACAAGAATAGCATTAATATTTTTAATTGGTAAATATTGCCATGAACTGGATTTGTCTGTTTTACTTGCTTGCATTGGATATTTGTATTAGCATTATTATCTTTTTGTCGAAATTGATCTTGTTGTTGTAATGTTAAAGATGTCTGACTAATATTTTGATCCATGAGTTGTGAAACTTGACCTGCTTTATGTCCAAGCTGTTTGTCTAATAATTTTTCATATTGAGGTTGTATCTGTGGTTTTGAATTGAATGACATTTCTAAAATTTGAATGATATCTTGCCTATTAATATATTTAACAAGATCTATTAAGGTTTCACCTTTGTTGTTTTTAATGCTTATAATCGCCCCTTTAATTAAAAGTGGTTTAATAACTTTTAAATCACCATTCTTAATTTCCAATGTAAAGATATATTGCCAATGTAAAAATGTATTGCTTTAAAGTTAATACTCACCCTTTCTTTTAGGCGATTAATCTCTTCTAAATCACTCTCACTTACTGCAATAAGTAATTCTTTATTGCTAATACTCAGCCTTCTTTGTTCTTTTCCTACTTTCTACGTTAATTTTTTTTACATCTATATCTTAGGTTCCATACCAATTGAAAACTCAGACTGAAACTGATATGCATTAACAATGAGTCTAGAGATCGGCCGATACCGATTATAACTATAATCGATTATTTCTTTCCGATATATACAAATTTCTAATCGATTGTCTGGTAACTCAATTGACAAACAATATTTTTAAAGTGAAAACAATGGTCATATGAACTGAGGTAACGTCCTGATTGGTTCTTCCAATGAACCAACACAAGACCACGCAAGAAAAATAGCACTTAATCTATTACGAAAATCCAACAAAACAGCCAGCAGCATGATTAGCAGAAGAGTCATTTCAAGCAAGAGAGCCAGCAAAATAGCCAACATAGGAACATGCATACAAACTAGCAAGAAAAAACGCTCCGTGTGTCGCTGGCTTTAACAAAGTCTAGTGACATAGTAAAAATGTACCAATCAGAACAAAGCGTTTTTAATGTGTTACTGAATCTCACCAGATCCGACGTAAAAAGAAGTGCCGTATGTTATCGGCATAATTATGGCTTCTGTCCACAGAATGCGGCAATGTTTGTCACATGATAAGAAGCGACGCAGTAACCAATCAACATACCGTTTTTCCATGAGGATTGAAAGTTTATTGGCTGCCACATCGCTTCTTGCTGCGCGACAAGAATTTCCGCGTTCTGTGGGCAGAAGCCATTAGTTTCTTTGCTATTGAAGTTATAATTACTGCAGCCACTAGATTCATCCATTTGCTGTTTCTCGTGCAGTCAATGGGTGCATCCAGAAGCACATAATCACTTATTGAACGCAAGTGAGCTCTTTCACCTAATTGATGTATATTTATAAATCTAAGAGAATATGCCAATCAGATGAAAAAACTCACTTACGTTCAATTCAGCGATCGCGTGCTTCTGGATACATTCAGTGAGTACTTTCAGCGAAAATACTGCCATTTTCGAAAATACTGGTAATATTCTTATATTAACTATCAGTACTGAAAATTTATAGTTTATGTCATGTATATTAGAGATTTTCAATACTAACAGTAAATATCGCCACCATAGTCACCATGCAACTTCCATATGTTTGGGCCACTCAAGGAAGCCCTTGGTGGACAGCGCTTCATAACGAACGAGAAGGTGCAGCAGTTCGTGTGCAATTGGTTTGATACACGTCCGCGGACTTTTCATGATACCGGTGTAACGTTTTGCCAGATTCCGGAGACCCAGGGTAAACTCGGTGAAAAGCAGAGTGACCTAAAAGCGGAGTCATCACTCTGTTGACCGTCCACGTAAGTCACTGATTTTATTACTTTTAAATTTCCCTATATAGTTATCTATCGTGGACGTAACACTGGGATTAAAAAATTACCAGACCGTTGGAAGAAGTGTATAGATAAGATTGGGGACTATATAGAAAAATAAGAAAAATGTAAATTAAAATTGATTTTGAAAAATATATGGTTTTTTTGCAAAAGGCTCGTTTATATTTGATCCACCCTTGTAATACGAGGGACCGATAGGCAGTTCGAACTTGGCTAAAAAGATCACAATAATAGGCAGCATTAATGGTTCGACGTTTTTGAAGAAAGTCGACCAACAGAATGCCTTTGCAGTCCCAGAACACTGTGGCCAAGACCTTCCCTGCAGACAACCGCGTCTTTGCTTTCACCGGTGCACCTTCGCCAGTCTTCCGCCACTCCATATTGGCCTTCTTCGATTCAGGGGTGTAATGATGGACCCAAGTCTCATCGCACGTAACGATTTTTTTTCAAAAAAGCGTTATCTTCCCCCTCGTAACTCGTTAGGAGCCTCCGAGAAATTTCAAACCGCACGGCTTTCTGTTCTGCATTCAGCAACTTTGGAATCCAACTAACCGACACTTTTCGAAATCCCAACTCATTGCGAATGATTGATTGCACACTTCCATAGCTGATCTGAAGTTCCTGAGAGATTTCAAGAACAGTTATGTGCCAATCGCCTTCCATGAGTTCTCGAACAGCCTTAGTGTTTTGCGCTGTGATGCTGATGCGGGGACGGCGGCAATATTTTCAACACGCTCCCGTCCTTTCTTAAATACGTTACACTACTGCTTCACCCGAGCCCATGAAAGGGTTCTTTCTCCGAATTGTGGGAGTAAACGGCGCCGAATTTCAGCAGCATTTACATTTTCGTTGACGAGAAACTTAATAATAACACGTTGTACAACTGTGGGGTGTACCTCTTTCTCGCTCATCGTGATTACTACTGAGAGTAAGAAGCACGTGGCGCGTCAACGTTATTACTGCCTCCCACATGACCCCCCTCCACTGTCCAAAACGTTGCAGACCCCTCACGCCGCCGACGGGCGCACAACTTAAAAAGGCTCGTTTATGTTTGATCCACTCTCGTATGTATATATATATACACACACACATATGTTAAAATGTATTTTACTTTTCTATTGGTGAATGTGTGTGTGTATGTGTGTATATATAACATATATATATATGCTTTACATTAAAAAAAAAGATTCTACTTACCAAGGTTTCTGCAATTTTCCCGACTAACGGTACTCTGCCCAGGTAGGAAGGAAGAGCACTGCGTAGAAAAATAAATATATTAATAATATTGTCCCATATTAAAATTATAGTACGGAAACATTATTTTTAATATTTCCGTCAAATATTGTTAACGATGACGTTGTGTACAACATTTAGAACCACATATTTGAAAATGTTACATATTATGTAATTGTAATAATGTAATTATTTCTTGCTACAGTATGCACCTATAAGACGTATCGCGCCAGCTTCATACGATATCAAATCAATATCAAAATCTAATAAAATATTATTATTTAGTACGCATATGAAATGACCAGTGTAAGCTAGGGAATAAATCAGTTAATCTATTACTGAAAAAAAAGATTAGTTAAAATCTTACATTAAATTATATTACTAAAAAATAAAAACCTATACGGCGCGAAAATAAATATTAAAATAAATTTCGAAGTAATACAAATTAAATGCTATTTATTACATGTCTTACTTAAAATTGTACATAAATAATTATATTAATATTTAATACATGTTATAATCGTAAAAACAGTCAAATATTATTCAATTTTAATAAGTATCGTCTTTCAATGAATTATTTATGCCATTATTGTCATTACTGTCATTGCTGTCGTTTTCAATCATTTCCTATAAAAATATATATAATTTCGTTATAAGGCAATAATAAAATGCTGTGCATAAAATATTAGTACAATATATAATCATCACTGCACCACTTCAATAAATGTATTTGCCTCTTGTATAATTTCCTCATTCAAAATATTTTTTTCGTTCAATCTTTCAATTTCTTCTCTTGACTTTTCTAACTGTTCCTTGAGTATACTATTTTCAACTAAAACATCATCAGTCACTTTTTGTCGTTCCTTGAGTATACTATTGTCTTCCTTGAGTATACTAATTTCAACTCAAATATCGTCAATCATTTTCTGTCGCTTCTCAGCTAAGACTTTCCAGTAATATTTATTAGGAGCTGAAAGAAAAATATGACAAAATAAATATTTCAGTAATAATTTAAAATTTCTTTCCGTATGCACATAGTATATATAAGAAACATGAGCACGAGCGTGGTGTTAGACAACACACTGGTCTGTTATACTAGAGATTCCAGGTTTCGCTTCTCGATAGAACCAAAATATTTTTATACGCTCGTGTCTCCTTTCCAATGGGCTAGCAATCCATCGAAGAGTATCTTTGCCAAAAACCTCACGCAAATTGTCGTTCGGAATTGACGTTCAAACTGTAGGTCTCATATAGTTGTGTATAATCTACATGCGCACCACAACTATATGCGTGTAAAGGGCCGGACAAGGTCGAAAGACGTTACAAAACTGATATACATATAAGAAATATAAAAAAAGTCAACAAAAAAATGTATTGATTATACCTTCCGATGTTAAATCTACCGCTTATTCTTCGGAAGCTGTTTGTATCGCCTTGTCTTTACTGGTCTCCTCTTTGGATTTATCAGAAAGCTTTGATTTTGTTTTATCTGATGTGACACTAAAATATCATATTAATGTTTAGTGAATTTATTGCAATGTTTATGCATAGTAGTCTTTAAAGTAACTTACTTTTTAGTCCTTACTTTCTTAATTTGTTTGTTTATTGATCTAAGCATTTTTCCCGCAGCAACAAGGTATTCTTTGTCCATGACTGATGGCTGCAACAATTGCAAAGATTCTCTGACCTTAACCTGTTTTGATAAAAGAGAAAATGCTTAAATACAAAACGATGACAGTTGCCGGAAACTTTGTGTGCATAACACGAGGAACATCTGAAGGATCTGCACAGAGCCATCTATCATTTCGTCGGTTTATTTTTTGATCCTGATCAAAATTTTTTTCGTCAGAAAAAAACCAGAGCATATCCGAGATTTCAGGATGTTTTAACTTGTTTAGGAGTCATTGTGCCTGAATGAATCGCTGTTCTCGAGTTTGTGCAGACATGAACTGACCTCTACGCATCGCGTAAGACTTGTACCGGATGTCTTCGTGGATAATGCGACGAATTGTGCACTCAGAAACTTTGAGATCTTTCGATATTGCCCTTATGGACTTTGAAGGGTCTTCATCAATAATGCCCTGAACTTTCTGCACAAACTGTGATGTTCTAACTTTATCAGAACGTGCTTCATGTTTTTTACGCTTGGCAACACTTTCCACATTGCCATCAGATGCTTCTAACTCTCGACGAACTTTGTTAACAAAAGATCGGGCGATTTTCAAAAATCGGGAGATTTCAAGATCGCTGTGATTCGCGTGTATAGCGACGATAACAGCGTGTCTTTTCATTTCCTGAGTTAGCTTATTGTCTTCCATTTCTAATTTGAGCTAAAAAAAAAATAAAATCAATCGCTATGAAGTGCCAAGCACATATGTGAGTGTCCTCAAATACCTGACGCACCCTGTACTTAACCAACTTATATTACAAGATTGGTATTATTACCACTTCTTAATTTTATTCATCATATTAGTAATTAGAGTTTATCTCTATTCTATATTTTGCCAAACAGACAATTAAAATTTATCACAAAAAAATTGCTACAACACCGTAAGACGTACGTTTCTCATGTATGGCGAAATAAATATACTAACCTTAGAAACTATGTCGGTGTTTTTGAAGTCAGTATTTGTTCTCATCTTGCTCATGACTCTATCTAAAATTTGGAGGGAAAGATGTTCAATCGTCTCATTAAACACGTACCAGATCTGCGCAATATGCTGCAGAAAAACAAATACCTATGCCTTATAAATATTCACTGAATGATGGTTATTTTCAAGTTACTTCGCTGACTTTCCGTACACATATGTGACCCCTTCCTATTTCAGCTGCCATATGATCGGGCAAGCTCCGATAACTCATAATTGATTGGTCACATAGGTGACAACATACATTGGTTGATGATCACATAGGTGATTGGCTAATGTAATATAATATTTTCTAATTGGTGATCCAACGGAAAGGCTCTAGGCACCAACCGATGTGAATAGATGTGTGTTATCGCACCGTACACTAACGGGACCCTTTCACATGAGGTCTGTTCGTTTTTGCTGCACCGCTGAACTAGTGCAATAAGTTGAAGCGAGACGAGTATATGTTTTCTCATTTCAACTTATTGCGCTAGTTCAGCGGTGCAGCGAAAACGAACAGACCTATTGACCGCGTTCAGCAAAACATTTAATTTGCAATTGTTGGAAGTTTTCTGAGCTAAGATTGGATTAATCTTTTAGATCTATAAGAATAACCCAATGTCAACACAGGAAACTTCTAACAGTTGCAAACTAAACGTTCTGTTGAACGCAGGCAATCATTCAGAATAACGCGTATATCAAATACATATGTGTATTTGGTTACTGATCACAAGTCGCTTTGTATTTGATTGCGTTTGCGTCTGCGATTGTGGAAAATAGACGGACGGCTAAACAAGAATCGTCAAACGCAATCGTCAGCAGATTTTCTCTGGTCGAGAGACAATCGTAAACACAAACGCAGACGCAGTCGCCAATCACTAGTGTAATTCGGGCATTAGGTGTAAAAATATCAAAAGTGCAAGCAACACGAACAGGCCTCATGTCTATATACTCAAAAACCAAAATACACAATCTTGTAAAGTTTCAGCCAAATCAGTGAGGAAGTTCCTTTCTATTACAATCACCGTAATTAAAACTAGATAATTGAGAATAGGTCAAAATAGATGATTGCAAATGACATTTTTAATACAACAGATACAATGCGATGTCCAATCAAGCAGTGTGCCATCGTGCGGTGTTCAATCGAGCAATGTATCAATTTAAAGCCCGCATCAGACTACAGATTGGGATTGAGATTGAGTTAAAATTTAGCCAATCATAGCAAAATTTACTAAACTTAAATTTTGTAAACTTTGCTCTGATTGGTTAAATTGCAATCCAACCTCAATCCTAATTCGTAGCCTGATATGGGCATTACGATGTCTAATACAGCAGTGTACCATGGTGCGGTGTCTATTCGAGCAATGTGTCAATCTTATGCCCGTATCAGACCACGGATTGGAGATTGAGATTGGATTGAAATTTTACCAATCAGTGCAAAGTTAATTAAATTTCACTAAACTTGAATTCAATTAATTTCGTATTAATTGACCAAATTCGATCTTAATTTCAATCCCTATTCCATAGTCTAATACAGGTTTTACGGTGTCCCTGTGTCCAATTGTAACGTGATCAATCGGGATACGCCCAATCTGTACTATGAGGGTGCCTCCCCATGCGGCGTAACTTGCGTAAGCGTAACTTGCATCAGCCAATCAAATCCGCTGTGATAGTTGGTATTTGAGTAATTGAGGCCATTTGATTGGTTGACGCAAGTTACACTTACGCAAATTACGCCGCATGTGACGACACCGTAAGACTTTATCCTTCCTTCGAAGATTTCTGCGCAATTGGACTCCGGCTTTAATGTAGTGTTTTTGAACGCAACTTTATTCACTAGTGGATTTAGTTTAAATTCGATATTGGTAACTATGAATGTAGAGCTTTAGTTTTTCGCCGCATGAAGTCTCTAAAATCAATTTGGAGTTCACTAGTCACTCCTGTAGACCTTTAATTAATCCTCATGTCATTTTCTGTGAGAATGCTTCACTAATATAAACAAAATGGTTTAGAATCTTTTGAAGCACCTAAAAAATCGCAACTTTTATATTCCATTGGCTAGTTGAGCGCATATCGTCATGTGGAAGTGTCATAAATGCGGGAAACCCGTTTATTTCGGTGAGTATTTTGCATTTTGCACTGCAGGCGATGTGTCTACTTTGACAAATTTCACTATTAATTATTCTGAATAATGATTCAAATTTAATTTACTTTGTTACGAGACGTTCCATGTAATGTGAAAAATGTTTAATTATTATGCTGAATGGACAATCAAATAAAAAAATTGAATTTGTTGAAAAATTTAAGTTACTTGGTATTGTGTATTATTTCAGTTATTTATAACACATGCTCGCGTAAAATTATCGTATATTGTATATGAAATTTATATGTGATAATACTATTATAGTAATAAATATACTATTGTTAATTTTTCTTTGAAGAAAGATGGTTTAAACAAATATAATTTGAATAAACAAATATAATAATTTTTAGCTGAACGTAAACAATCATTAGGATATGATTGGCACCCGGAATGTTTGCGATGTGAAGAATGTGGAAAGCGACTGAATCCTGGACAACATGCAGAAGTATATATGTGTGATACAATTAAATTTAATTATATTAAACTTAGAAATAAAAATTGCATTAAAATTTAATTTTTATAGTATATAGCTCTGTATAATATTTTAATTGGATTATAACAATAATATATGATTATTAATCAGCACAAAGGTGTACCCTATTGTCATGTTCCTTGTTATGGAGCTCTTTTTGGACCTCAGCTATTTGGCCATGGCACAAGAGTGGAATCACATACCAGTTTTGGAAAAAAGGAAAGCCGACCATCATTACCAAGGTAATCACACATGGAAATCCTATATAACTAATTTAATAATAACAAGTTTCTCTTTTTTCTCAAAATTATTCTGTTACACATACTTTTACACATACTTTTAAAAATATATTAATATTCCATAACAAATCATCTAATATAAAAGTCTAAATGTTTTCTTTAGAAGAAATAAATGTTTTTTTTTAGATAAGTCAGTAAGACCTATTACCAGTTTACCAGTAAGACCTTAGATAGATCAGTAAAACGCCAATGCGTTTATTTGATGACTAATTTATTATTGGCCTATCTGAAAGCTTTATATTCTTGATTGTATATTACGAGAGTCTAAATTTCAACTCAAATTATTCTATGGATGCTGAGAGGAAACATTTGTTTATATTCCATTTAAAACATTTAAAATCTTGATATTGCAATAAATACTATCGAAGCCTCGGTGGTTGAATTGATAAAGATGTCCGCCGGGCAAGTGGAAAGTTTCCAGGTTCCACTCTTGGTGGAAGCATTATTTTCTGTAACGATCTGTAATATTCTAAGAATCAAACAAAGCATACGTGAATAATTAAATCGGTTGGAGAAAAGGGGAGTAGTAATAAAATATTAATAGAATACAAGGTTTGACATGGAAGGAGGATTCTCCGTGTATTTAAAGCCTGACAAAACTAATTGAAATATGCGTTGACACCGTCAAACATATTTATCCTCCTATAATAACTAATAATTAGCCGCCGAATAATTGCGCTGATTCTTACTGACCTATTTAAAAGCTTTATATTCTTGATTGTATATCACGAGAGCTTAAATTTCGACTCGAATAAATAAACGTTTGACTTTTAGATCACACTTGGAGTCAAAATTAAAAGTTTTTAATCAGTATTACGAAGGTAAAAGTGGGGGAATTAGAAGCCGTGAGGTAAAAAATATATTTAATATACATTTCCGTCAAATGTTTATTGCTGTAAAACTCGGACTGATACTTATATAAATAATGATTTAAAACAGGTCAATGGAAGATTGATATTAGAAGGTGCATTAAGAATTTATTGGGGTGTTCGTGGAGTGATTCATCTAAAGGAAGATGATGATCAACGTACAGTGGTTACGGCGCGAAACAGGAATTCATGTAGGCATAGTGTTTCCGAGGTACATATTTATTTTATAACTTGGTATATGAGAAACAAAAGATACGATAGAAAGTACGTTCTTTATTTTTAATTGCAATAGGATATTGAAGACGAGGATAAGATAGACGAATTGTCTAAAAATCCATCAGACAACAATGTAGAGAATAATACAAAGTCTGTTCCGATATCTCCCGATCATTTGAAAAGTCTCACTCTGCCTATGAAATTGGATGTTAAGACTATGGAATGGGACGAACTGGACGAGTTACTACAGGTTGTATGATTAGCGCCTACTTTTGTTTCGTGATATTAATTCGATATAATTTTCAGGTCGAACGTAAAATCGAGGACGGAAACAAGCTGTATCAAACAATGCCTGAGAATCTCCCGTCAATAAGTTCGCAGTCCAGCGTGGATACACCGCCGCTTTCGTCTCAGTCGAGCCTCGATCAGTCTGACTCTTGCGAAAATTCAAACACAAGCAGTCCGAATCATCAAACAATCAGCCGGGATAACGACAGCAGTATGAATAGCACGCCGACGCATAGCATAGGTAGTTCTTCCAGCACAGACACACCTGTCAATTTAGGGACTTCTAATCGAAATGGTACGCTTCGAAGAGTAGAATATTTTGACAACTTGGAGAAGGGCAATGCCGTTGGCGGCGGTAGATCTATCGACATTGACGATAGTTGGATCGAGAAAGGTTTGAACCGATCTCTGTCAGGTCCCGACTGTCTTCAGAGACACAGAACTGACAGCGATACGGATTCGGTAAACTCCTTGCAGTTTAGAGAGGATGACAATATGACTATGTCCACGGACAGCGGATTAGAGGTATCGCGCCGTTCTTTTTCCTTATTTTCCACGAAGTAGATGCTGCAATATCCCATTTTCAGCTGGACGGTGTCGTTTTGCGCCGCAAGCAAGGTTCTACCGCAATCAGACGACGTCCAGGCGGTAAACGTCAGTCCCGCAGTCGACTACGACGTCGTTGTTCGATAAACGGTCATTTTTATAATCGAGAGACCAGTTTCTTCACACCGCCCCATGGCTCACAAATGTCCGTCTGGGTGACGAGTCTGGTGAATACTCAAGAAGTCATTAATTTAATGTTGGACAAGTACAAGGTCGACGCCAAGTCTGATAATTTTGCATTGTTCGTGGTGCGCGACAACGGTGGTAAGAGTTGCGACTTTCGTACAAGAGTCAGTTTCACGCGCAATTATACGTTTCTCCGTCATATGTGGTTCATGCTATTCTTTTCAGAACAAAGGAGGTTAAGAGACGATGAGTATCCTCTGGAGGTCAGAGTGATCTTGGGTCCGCACGAGAATGTTGCACGGCTATTCCTGGTTGATAAGTTGTCCACGCCTGAAATTAGTTCCGACGTCGCACAATTTCTCAATTTGTCTCTAGCGGAATGCCACGGCATACTGCAACGCTACCATTATGAGGAGGAACGTCAGATTGTTATTTTGAGAGAGAAGTGAGTAAAAACAACAATGCGGGCGTAAAAATCGTCGTGATATATCTTATAATTCCGACGTTTTAGATACAAAGAAATGCGAAGGAGAATAAAACAAAGAATGGAAGAGTTGAAAGTCCGTTTGTAAATGGAATCTCGAGTAAACATACGGATGTCTACGCAATTATTTTTATATATCGACGGAACGCTCGAAAACGTTCATTGTAAAATATTCACGTGACAAAAATCTACAACACGTACCAGCATACGGGTATGTATCGCATCAGCGGGACGTTATACGATATGAGGGATTTTTGAAAGTGACCAAGTACACTAAATATCATGACCGTACACGCTTGATTTTAGTTTAATTTGTAGCTTGACGCTTCATTATTATATTCATTTATCTGTATTCATTTGGAACCTATTGCATTTATCTATAGCCGTTATACGGAAATGTTATTAAATAGTGTACTTTAATCGGACGAGGAAATTGAATCTCTAGTGATTCTATGAATTTACTTCCGTTTATCAAGTCGAAGATATAATATGTGATGCATATGATAAGAAATGTGTTATTCTCGTAGTATCCACTATGGCTTTCCGAATGATTAAAATTTACGAGAAGTAAGAATATATATCTTCAATTCGTTTCGTAACACAGATGAAACGATTGAAGACTCGAATAATGTTAGTATGAAGTAGTTATCGCTCGTAAAATTATATAACGATAGAGAATTATTCAATATCTCGAATATTGTTCATAATCGCTCGTACTCACGACGAATAGAACGGTGTGTTTTATTGCAATTTTTCAGCATTCCGACATTTCGACGAAGTGATAAAAAAAATAGCAATGAGAAGGTATTTTTCTATCAGTTTTTTAGAAGGGATCCTTCTATCGAACGAGAAGTCATTTTTACCGAATATAGAGATCGACGATAATAATAATTGTTACGAATATAAAGTTTTCTATCTCTTTTGCATGTTAACGTGGCCCAAATAAGTAGACACACACATAGCCGTGCACAATTGTTGTCAGATATTCTGATACTGCAATCCGACACTATTGTTGCGCGAAACAAATTGCAGAGTAAAACAAAATGCCGCCGATGCAATAGCAATTAATCGCCGGAACATTGTAACGTGTCGCGTCCATGGAATCGCCGTTTCGAGCTAGTCATGTTTCACGCTTAGTCACTGATATCGATTGTCCATCGCATTTTCAACTAGAGGCCAAAAACGACATACACTGAGCCACGTTTACGTACATTACAAAACATACGTATATGTATACGTTTTCAATCTGCCAGTTTAGAACAATAAATAAGGGGCACGTCATGACGTAATAAAGATATATTGATAACGCAGATATTTGTGTGCATATATATATATATATATATATGTATATATATACATTTATATGTATATATGTGTATGTATATATATTTATACAGAGTGTATCAGTATATACGTTCACAGAGTATATTGTACAATTTTCTCTATCAAAAAACGCAATTTTTTCTTTTAGCAAAATTTCATTCAATGATTTTTAGAACAAATTTAAAGTTTACGCGCGAGTATTCTAAGTTGCATATGAAGCAGAAACAATGTGTATGTTGGAATCACTGACATCACGAGTCGTCATTCGCGTGAATGTGTAATATATTTTTCTTGTATTTCGCCAAAGATTTTACAAAGATTATATAACTATTCAATATAATATGAAGACATGGTTCATGTTGCAGAATATAGTGAATTGTGGAATAGCATACACTTATAATATATAAAGACTTTCAAGATACACAATCAAATGAGAAATAAAACGTAGGTAAGAGCCACACTAGTGTCGGAACAATATCAAATTTAATGACAAGAAGTGTATTTACATATAAAAATGGATTTACATATAGAAATGGTTTTGATTCTAATCATTAAAACGTTTCTCAATGTAAAATTATAATTTTTTAAATTCAAATTGTCATAACGCTTGTTATAAAGCATATACAAACTATTATAAATATGTTATAAAATATGTTATAAATGTTTATTATGTCAAAAGGTGAAATGAACATCTAGTTTCTATAGTAAAATGTTTGTTACTAGATAGACGTAATTACTTGAATCATTTTTTATTGAGCATCTAGCCTTTTACACTTATACAAATTTGACATCAGCATGAACTTGGCATTCTCTTTTTGCGTTTTACAAAAAGCCTTATGACAGTATGCAACTTAATTTTTATAAATTATTATTTTGCGTTGTAGAAGGTTCAAACGATTCAGGCCAAAACATTCGTTTTTACATATAAACACACTTTTTCTCGTTAAATTTGATATCACGCCAACATCAGCGTATGGTTTCTACTTATCTTTTATTTTTCATTTGATGGCGCATATACCCAGATAGCACAAAACCGGGATATAAGACGTCTTTAAGATATTTTTAAGATGTCTTAATCCTTTGCGGTTCGGAGATTTCGATGAGAGTACCAGCAGGTCCGAGCAAATTTAGCATTTCGCAGTTACTTTTCCGCTAGCCTCGTTCGCCGTGCCGCTCGCCAGGCGATCATGAATGACATCCATGCCGCCAGACTGACGGCACGGACTTCTACGACGATTTGCGAATGCCGCCACTGTGGCGGCATGGACCGCAAAGGGTTAAAGTCGTCTTTAAGGCTTCTTATAGACGTTTTAGGTTTTGTGTTATATGGATATTGTATTAATTCTATGTTATCCACATACTATAGATGGACTGGTGAAGTAATTCAATAGATGATTTCTAGCTCCTTTCTCTTCGATTATCCTCGGAATTTCTTAAATTTCTTCTACAATAATCATCTGGAAGTTTTGTCTATGTGTAATATATTTACCTGTTACCCTTATCCGCAATCACGCTTTCGGATATCAAATATTTTGTTCAAAACAATGATAACATTCAAATATTATACACATATGATGGCACGATAAATTTTTTTTGCAAAATGCAAAAATATAGCTTATATGCCCAATAGGATGATTCGTGATTCTGATAATTGCAAAGCGCGTGCCGCCATAGATTCACACGCAACCTAGAACACTGATTCGTGAATTTTAAATTATTCCCATTTAAAAGCTCATTTTGTTCGGACTTTGTCACGAAGAAAAATTGCGTTTTTTATATAGAAAATCGCACAGTATACGTGAATGTAAATTTTAGTATACTCTCTGTATGCGTATGCGTGTAGGCTTGAGCACATGTGCGCGTGCGTGCATGCAGGCGTACATGCAAACAAGCGAAAATGAAAAAGACAAAAAAAGAGAGAAGAAAAAATGTGTACTAAAGAATATAATAACCGCTACATCATAGGCAGCTTTTTTACTGTAACAGTAAGAAAAATGTAATCCGTAATCATGTATTAATTAACAAAACAAATCACGTTTATTGCGACATTAGAATAAGTTTTTCGATTCGCGCCGATTAACCTTTTTCTACTGCTGATATACATGGATAGATAAATAAATAGATAGATAGATAGATAGATAGATAGATAGATAGGTAGACAGATATATACAGGGGCGTACATATTTTTTCGTGCGCCGATTATAACAGACGAAAATACTCCGTAACCATGACATTATTGAACACGTTTTAGCTGAAGGAATAACAAAATACAAAATCGAGAGTAAATGTCCAAGTACTAAGCATATTGTAAAAAAAACTGATCGGATCGAGAAGAAATCATGTAGTATCGTTGAAACAAAATAATAAAGTGAAAATATAGTTGCTTCTTTTACACCTCCTTCTTTTATTCCTTCGATTTAAAGCGACCAATTGTCAAGGAATTTCCAATAAAGGTGGGTCACGAGATGGTAACCATCGATTTCAATATTGTTTATGTGAACAAGTCTTGGTATAGACCTTTATTAATCCGTCAGTTCCCAAATGAATTGAAACCACAAATTTCTCTTTCCTCTTAGGAAATCTCATGTTTTGGAACCTAAAGAAACCAAATTTATAGGTTTTGAGTTTTTCAGAATTTTCAGAATTTTTCATATTTTTCGCTTATGTATCGCTTTTATTCAGTGTTGACAACTTGTTTTAGAGTCACTAGTATCTAAACTGAACACTTAGAGCTATGTTATAGGTTAGCAGTGTTATTTCGATGGTTTATAAGTCAAAAATATTGTGCCACCTGGAGGGTGCATTGGGAACTGACGGATTAAATAAAGAGAAAAGGCTCAATCCTCAAGCATTTCCAAGAAAATCGAAGTTAAAAAATCTCTGGTACGTGTGGGTAAGTTTAGTGGAATGCTTCACCAAAGATCAGAGGCAATGTGCTTGACTCGTACATGTAAAATTAGAAATGTTAGAAGAAAACGTGTGACATTATTTTAAATTGTTTCAAAAAAGTCAAGTTATTCATATTTTTACATTCCAAAATGTAAAGGTCTTTTAAATAACTTTATTTTTAATAGATTTTGAGAAAATGCTTGAAAATTATGCTTTTCCCTTTTGCTGAATAAAGATTCATATCAAGGCTTATTTACACAAATAATCAGTGTTTGAAAATCTCTAGATAAAATGATCTAAATAATTATTGAGATGAATAAGTAGATCAGCTTTATCTTTATCCAGATAAAAAAAATACAAAATATATTCATCTCCATCTTACATGAAAAACATGTTATCTCATCTAAAATTGATCTGTGAAATGATGTTATGATCCATGTTTTGAACTCACTTTTCGATAAAACGAATGAAATAATATGGACTTATGGACGTTAAGCCCGTATCAGACTAGGGATTGGAGGTTAGATTTCAACGAATCGACAAATTTCGGTTCTGTCTCCTTTGGTCTATTCTTTTTAGCCGCGTTGCTAAACTGGTGCAACTAAAACAGACTATTTGTTTCAATTAATTAATTCACTTTAAACTCGTGTCAAACTGTCGATTGTAAGTAAGCAGTTAATAATTATTGGTCTTTTTCGTTAGATCCTTAAATTTAAAGCGATTATGTAGACGAATTATTTAACCATTGTGCAATTTTATGATCCACGTAATTTTCATCATAAATTTTTATAAAGTCTCTCATGTAAACAATATCATCTAAGACGATAATTAAAATATGATCTAAATAAGTAATGCAACTTATCTTTCATCTAGATATATCAAAAGCGAAATCATCATCTCATCTAAGATCAATTTTTTGGATTTTCATTTCATCTTCATCTAAATGAATCTGAAATCATCTAAGACAAATACTGCAAACAATATTATAGGAATCAGTGAGTATCGCCTTGTGATCTCCCTTTGTAAGGCCCAATCTATTCGAAACGCTTGAACGTTTAACAATCGTCTACGGGTGGACGATAATACGATAAATCTTCCCTATTAAACTAGGATCTTTTATTGGAAATATTGATAAGGAAGAATACAATAAGACATCATAAGATATAGGTGAGATTGGACAGAATGTATTTATTTATCTTTAAAGTGTACGTAGAGTAAAGTAGATCAATGCAATGTTATGAGTAGTATCGAATAGTAATTGTCATACGAATTGCTAGGAACGAGTACGCATACCCACAACACCGAGGAGCTTCAGCCGCTCATTTTTTTTTCTTTTTTTTTTGCATGACACTGATATTACATTAAACGTTACGAGATATAGCAATAACGATTATCACCGCCAAACGTTCGCCATTGTTCATCATTGACGCGTTATCATATGACCTTACGCACAACTTTATTACAATCCTTACGACTTACAATCTTTTGGCATCGTGGACACCAGATTCAACAACAACGTGCATACACACGCAGACGCTCGCAGACCCGCGGATTTAAAGTATATCACAAAAACACGACGGCGCTAATTATGCAACTAACGTAGTCCCGTTGAAATTTGTAAAATTCGCTCGCACGCTCCCATCGAATCGTTCGCCGAGTCGTTGTTCTACTTTTATATGATTACTGGATATAAATCGAGCTTTCATAACGTATCCAGCGGTGGGTCGAGAGATCCCGGTTGACCGTTTGTCTTGCAATCGTCGTCATCACCTTGGACATTTTGAGCTTCCTTGTCGAATATGTCAAGTTTTCAAAAATAATCGAGGACACTCGGGAAATGCGTCGATCTTGCGTGGTTTTGTTTGAGACGCGTTATATATCGATAAAACCGTATTTGCGAATACGCGACGATCGCACGTTCGATGTCGTAGAAAACTGTTATGTGTGTGTATATATATACCATATATATATATATATATGGTCGGAATAAGATTTATGTATTATTAAGAGCGTGAGGCAAATAGTGCGATTGCGCAATTAATGAATCGGCGAATTATGAAACTCGCGTGTGGAGGCTCGTGATTTTTAAGGCTTTAAGTAATCTTAAA